TCATAAAAAAAATAGACGTACAAAGCGAGAAAGAGTTGAAAGCAGTATCATCTGTGACTAAAAGCTAGTTTGAAAATGGAAACTTAGCTAAACTTGAAACGCTTGAAGCAAGTGTTTGTTGAAGGTAGCGGAGCAGGCCTGCCATCCTTGTTTGGATGGGCTCCAGGCCTAAGGCAAGTGGTCATATGTGTGAGTCTCTGCATTGCCACAGTGGGAGCATTTGAGCACAGCAGGTGATTACTTCTCTGGGCTGTTGAGAAAAGGCTTCATGATCTGTTGACTGTTTCCCTTTCATTGCAATGACAACACTGACAAAATATGTAAAAGCAATGAACTATGTGCCTTAAGTCATTGGTGTGGCCTCTAACACTGGAGTGGGGCATATGCTACACAGTTTTTAAATAGCAGTGTTACAGTGGGGACTGTGGTACTTCTGTGAGATGGACTGAGATGAGCACATTTGGTTCGCTGTCCCTGAATAATAATGGCCAATTGTAATGAAAAAAAAAAAAGGTTTTCTATCACTTTACTGAGCTGGTGGAGCCTGCACATGAGGTAAGGGGCTGTCAGAACTAGTGTGAAGGGATGKTTGGGGACAGAAACCCACACATAGATGAGCTCTGCTGTCTTGTGGAGCTCCAGCTGGTACCAGTAACCACTTCTTGTGCAGGAGTCTGCCTTTGGTCACTTCACTGCCATCTCCAGAGGACATTTAGATGTCTCAGGAAACTCTTACTCATTTTGGCACAACCCACAGCAATTGGCAGTGCTTCTTGGAGGGGCTCAGTACCAGAGCAGCGTGGGCGAGGAACCGCTTCACTTCAGCTCTGTGGCAGTTGGGAAGTGACACTCAGTGCCTGAGGACCTCAAGGAGATCTGCTGCCAATGCTGCTTGTCTCGGTTCACGAGCAAATACCAGATTCCTCCAGAATTAGGAACAAACGGGTCTTCATGATCCTGTGTGCCGCTAATTACCTAAATATTTGATTGAGATTGAACAAGGACTTAAAATATCTTTTCTTTGGGTTAAAATTATGAAATTTGTTTTATTTTTCACAAAAAATCATCAAAGTATTCATATGACTAAATAACAAACATGAAGTCATATTACAGTTGTATTTGAAAACTAATTCTAGCTATACCTGGACTTCCCAGTGTCTTTGGAGCAAGGTATGTGTTTCTTCAGCCTTAAGAAGTAGGAAATCATGCCTTTCCTTTTTTTTGCTTTTCTTATTTATGTTTGCAGGCTGTTTTCTGAGCCATCTTGTTTCCGTTCTCCTTTTCACCACTATATGGCCACTCAGACCCCCTAGCCAAGGGTCAGAGTAGTCAGTATTTCAGTGTGGTTGTATTTAGTTCATGTGATGATTGCATCACATGAATGCTGCCGTAAGGATGTAATGGTCAGCTTGACCTCTTTACAAATACTCAACAAGTATGTGAGAAAACATTTAAAAAGCAGTTAGGGGATTCTGAAGGCTCTCAGGAGAGCAAAAAAGATTCCTTGGCTGCCCATGGTGAGGACTAAACACTGCTATTGACTATAGCAATGTATTAAGGACAGCCTTGTAGGCGGGAGAAGRCACCATAGACTGGGCTCACTCGCTSGTTTTCCACATAATTTTGTTTCATTTCCTTTTATGGTTATATTCCTACTTGAAAGGTATTTATTCAGTTCGCTTCCTCTTCAGGATGGCTTCCTCTTTAGCCATCATGACACACCTTAGTTTCACATCTGTTACCTTCAGACTTAAATAAGGACCATGCACCACGACTGGCTTGTGAGTAGAGTCTCTCCTGATTGCATCACACAAGTTGTCGTACCCAGCCAGGCAGGGCAGGGAAGGACTGTCATAATTTTCACCTTGTTTGTGAGARAAGGAAAGACTGTTTATTTGTATTCCTGCAGATGAATGGAAAATTAATGGAAAAATATGATTGATATGGTACAAAACTGGGAGGAGTGGCTGGTACCTCAGAGTGCTGTGCTGCCCTTCAGAGGGACGCAGAGAGGCTGGAGAAAAACTCATTTGTCACACTGGATTTTTTTTGTGTCTGCAGCAGAACTATCTGGCCTGAAAGATTCATTGTAGGGAAATAAGATGTTAATGAAGAATGTAGCATTAACAGTGCCTAGCATAACAGAATAACATTGCCTAGAATAATGTAATTTCACCTTAATTCTTCTGTGGTTGGAAAAAAAAATCCTTTATTTCAGTAGCAAAAGAAGAGCGTCATATCGGTATGTTTTATAATAATTAATGCAGGGATAATTGTTCTGCACTGGAATATACCTCAGGCTACACTTTCTTTTGTTCCATCTCTTGATAAAAATTGTGATTTCATGGATCATGAAGCTACATTATTATCCTCAAGTAAAATCCCCTTGGAGGGGGTGGGTGGTTGCTGGTCATTTATTTCACAAATTATCAATATATTAAAATCTGAAAGGGTAGTAGGTGCTTGAATTATATTGGAACCATCCAGCAGCTGTAATGAAGATCATATGTCATAAGTCAGGCTGCTTTTTGCAATAGCAGTAGTAAAGGGAGACTGAGTCCTTTATCCTTTTATCCTTTACCACAGAGAATCCTTTATGTGGTGCTTCTGCTGTCTGGAACATGCAACGTGTGTGTTTGTGCTTGTACCTGGAGTGAAAAATTCCAGATTTATGTAAAAACGTGCTTGTCTTCTATCAAGCCTCCATTGAATCAATGCAGGGATGAGCGTTTCCTAATCTGATCCTTTCGTTCCTTTCATAAGTCAACTTGAAGGGAAATACCACTTAGTTCCCTGATCCTGCAGTAGTTTACACACACACACACACACACACACACACAAAAAAAAAAAAAAAGGTATATTAAAAATCTTTTTTTGACTAAATAAAAGTTACTTAGTTGTTAAAAATGCAGGATTTTCCATGTGAATGCATTTTACTTTTCTTGTATGGATGTTTCTGTGCCCATGTTAATCAAATACTGCTTTCAGAAGGACATGTAGGTCTCCGTTATTCTTTTGTATTGAATAATGATTCCCTGATTTCAGAGAATATTGTTTTCTCACTCACTGTTTCTTTCAGAGAAATAAATGTGTGAGTTAATGCCCCTTCACCTTTGCACAGGGATAAGGAAAGAAGAACAATAGTGATTATCACTAATTATTTTTTAATCAAACAAGTGTTTCTGCCTCTTAAATAATTCATTAATCAAGCAGAAAGTGACTTTTTGATATAAAATATTTCCGGGACTACATTTTAGCTATTGATAAGTTTATTGCAGAGTTCTGAGGGTTCTTATGAAAACTGCAAAATATGTATTCCTGAAAACATCTCTAATAGTGTCTACAATAAAAAGTACAGTAACCCTTTATGGAAAGCATTTTTTTTAATTGCCCTGGGTTAAAAATAAAGCTTTCTGATTCCCAGGGAGAACACCTTATCTGTTCCTCCAGTAGATTTCTTAGTTATGTTTATAGCAGTGAGAAGAGAGGAGCTTTAAAATAAGAAACATGAATTCTGAAATTCATGTCGTGATCATGAATCTTTTGGTATGAATCTGAGGCAAGCCTTGTTAAGTGTGCTTGAAGACCCTGAGGATAGCAGAAGAGATGGGATATTTGTATCCCAATTGGAAATTTTTACATGCATAGAATTTGCTTCACAGCCCAAGATCTTCTGGGGTATTTATGTAAATGAGAATTTATAAACATAAGACTGGGAATGGAAGTGGGCATGTTCTTTAAAAAGATTCACAGTCCCAGATCTGAAAATAATAATGGTTGCATGAGGACTTAAGTTCTGGGAATAGCAGAGGAGCTTTTCAGAACTGGAGTCTCAGGATGTGATGCTGCCGTAGGCAGCCTGCTTCCTGCACTGCCCTGGGAATCGTCATTTCTCACTGACACTGGGAATACTCTGAATGTCTCCCAGGCTGGTGAGGAATTCTAGGTCTCTCATCACCTAGAGAGACCTACTGTCTGTACTGTTACCTACTCAAATATTCTCCATCATGTTTTATTTACTCGGTGAAGTATGTATTTGATTAGCCATTGGCTTGTTGTTAATACTTGTCCAGCCCATTGGGTCATAAAAGCAGGTGTGTCTAAACAAGAATGAGAAGAAAGATGACCTTGCAGAGATGAGAGGCTTTCATCTTTGCTTGTATTGTATTATGCTCTTTTTTGCTCAAAAAAAMCCCAGTCTCTTTGAAATTAGTGGATCTGCTTGGAGAATAAGGATACTTAGGATATTTACTGATGGTAGAATTCAACTGCGTTGAAGGTGTCTTTTATAGCACATTAAAATAAAACTAGTAATGGAAAACAGTCCTCAGCTTTCAGTAGCATGACAAGGCTTTGAAAAATGATAAGCAGTTGCTCCTCAGATGAATGATAAATCAGAAGAATGATAAAGAGTTTCTAATCGGCTCTTTTCTCCATAAGGGTTTACACAAGAGGATCAGTTCTGAACATCTGAGGAACTTACTGAGTTGTAATCAAAGGTGATATATGCTATTATATAAAGAGCAAGCTGTGCCAATTGGAGTTTAAATTTGTTCAGTGCAGTCATTGTATGAAGCAGAATAATAACAAATAAAAATTGTTGTCACAGTTGGATTTATTTTGGCTACTTAACGTTTTCCCCAGAGCATTTTTAGAAAGAAGAATTAGAAAATAATGTCCTGAATATTTTAAATATTATGTTTAGTCTGAAGGTCATTCACGTGTCCTCTTTTGAATCATTCATTCTTCCTAGTATAAAAATGGTGTGATTTGCAGCAAGACATTATAGCATAAAAGTACTTTTTTTCTCTTTCTCCTTTACCTTTCTAATAAAATTCAGAAGTATTAAAATGACCAAGTTATTTGTAAGGCTCTTGGTATGACCTAAGCACAATATTWCATCCTGAGATGACTATATAAAATATGAGAGAAAGAAAACAAGTGTTAATAGAGTAGGGAAAACACAGTCTTCAATCTCATTTTATTTTTTGTCCCCACAGGACATCAATGTATGTATCCTTGAAAACTACCCTGAGTGTTCCAATCCCAGGTTATTTTACATTATACCATATTTTTGTGGACAGCATCCAAGATGCAGGTAAGTGTATACAAGGTATTTGTTAAGAGATAGCTGTTACCGTCTTTGTCACAAAATGCTAAAGCACAGACAGCGGCTATTTGAAGTACTAAAGGAAACTGTATGTATAATGTGGCTGAATGGGGTAATTGGTTGGAAGGATCTTTAGGGATCATCTAGTCGAACCCCCCTGCACACGCAGGGTCACCTAGAGCACGTGGCACAGGGCTGCGTCCAAGCGGGTTTTAAAAATCTCCAAAGAAGGAGACTCCACAACTTCCCTGGGCAGCCTGTTCCAGGGCTCTGTCACCCTCACTGTTAAGAAGTGTTTCCTTAAGTTCCTGTGGAACTTTTGGTGCCTCAGTCATTTCCTCTAGTCCTGTCGTGGCTGCCACTGAAAAGAGGCCGCCCCCTCCTCCTCACTGCCTCCCKTGAGGTATTTATASACRCTGATCAGGTCCCCCCTCAGCCTCCTCTTCTCCAGGCTGAACAGACCCAGCTCTCTCAGCCTTTGCTCACAGGGCAGATGTTCCAGGCCCCTGATCATCYTGGTAGCCCTGCGCTGGACTCTCTCCAGCAGCTCCTCATCCCTCTTGTACTGGGGAGCCCAGAACTGGACGCAGTACTCCAGATGTGGCCTCCCCAGGGCTATGTAAAGGGGGGTGATCACCTCTCTCGACCTGCTGGAGATGCTCTTCTTAATGCACCCCAGGATCCCGTTGGCCTTCTTGGCCACSAGGGCACACTGCTGCCTCATGGTCAACTTGTCATCCACCATGACACCCAGGTCCCTCTCTGCGGGGCTGCTCTCCAGCAGGTCCACCCCTAATCTGTACTGGTGTCCAGGGTTATTCCTCCCCAAGTGCAGGACCCTGCACTTGCCCCTGTTGAACCTCATGAGGTTTCTCRCCGCCCAGTCCTCCAGTCTGTCCAGGTCCCTCTGGATGCCAGCACAGCCCTCTGGGGTATCGGCTACTCCTTCCAGTTTGGTATCATCAGCAGACTTGGTGATGTATTTCAGAATATGAAGGGTGATACAAATAGTAATGATAGTTTTTGTTGATATTGCACTCAAATAATGAACCAAATCTAGATAAATTTATTAGGCCTTTATTACTGCTCTATAGTATAATAATTATGAATAGCTTTCAAAACCAAAAAAAATCACAAAAATATTTTTGCATAAATTAGGATCTAATTAAGAAACAAAATGCRTCCATTACTTTATTTTCATTACTTTTTTTCTTACTGTATTTTGCACATGTTTGTGTGCATATTTAACTTTCATACAGGAGCAGTCCCTCCCATAAACAGCAGTGACATGCACGAATGGCCTCACAAGAATTTGCTAGGGAGTTCTGAACAATATATTGAAATTAAAAAAAAAAAAGTAGCATATTATACGTCCATTTCTTGCTGTTGCAGCAAATCTGAAAGTAACATGTCTTGATTTGATTTCCAATCAAATTCAGCACTGCTGCTTCCTCAACTGAGTGTGAGGAGTCAGACAGTAAGACCTGCTTTTTCAAGAAGTCATAGCTTCAACAGGAATAGTTGATGTGCTGCCCACCAAAAGAGTAGGACATGATTTTAAGAGTATAATTTCAAAGGGAAATCCTAAGTCCACAGGGGGATTTGCTGGGACAGACCACACAGCTTCCATAATGCTACCAGATGTCCATTGCTCAACTGAAGTACGTGACGGTTGTCTGTCCAGACCCCGGGCAAGAGATGAATACCAACTGGTTCTGGCCATGTGTTAGGTACACATCTTGTCACGTTTGCACATTTCCTGTTACATGATCAGATATATGCCATCATATTTCAGAGCCTGTCTATATCTTGGGCAGGCAGTGGATATGTACACAGTCAGCGCTTGTGGAGACCATACCACGTTGTCAGGAAATGCAATAGCAGGGAATAGCTTCCAACACAATTCATATGGCCTCCAGCTGACTTGTCGCCTGCCAGACCCCAAGGAAAATAATCACTAAAGAGAAGGCCACAGACAGAGACAGAGTGAGCAGACTGGAGATGTTGGATCAAGCCCTCATCCTGCTGTCCTGGAGGAATATTGCACTGTCCATCAGTTTCTATGAGCTGATTTCCCATTGGGATCTCTCTAGGCTCTCAGACAAATTGCTCCAAAGGAAATGCATGTTTAAAGACCTATTCTTTTTCTCTCTTCCCTTCCTCTCCCTCTTATAATTTCATATAGGGAGCCTGGTGAGTGGGCCCTTGAAAGAGCAAAGCTGAATGTTAATGAAAATTTTCTTCTTGTGGGAATTCTGGAGGAGCTGGAGGATGTGCTGCTTTTATTAGAAAGATTCTTACCTCATTATTTCAAGGATGTGCTGAGCATCTATAAAAACCCAGGTAACTTTTTCCATTAAAAATTTCTTCTTACAGAAGCTTAGGTAAAATCTGCATGACTGYTCAAAGGTAAGTCTGTATCTTACTCAGTCTATAAAGATTTACCTCCCTTTCAGGGAATGGATTTGATTGGCAGGGGAAGGGAACATATTCTGCTTTTATTCGTAGTGTGTATTTTGCATTCATTGGCAAGCACTCAGTGCTCCAATGACCCCACATGAAACTGGAAAGTTTATTATAAAAGTGGCTTTTCTTCTCTTAATTCTGTAATAGCTACTTACAAAATGGTATCGAGCAATACATATGTAAAGAAATTTTGAAGAAATGGGGTGAGAATCTGGACATTTTTGTACCAGAGTATTTGTTGACTACCAAGTGCCATGATATTAACCAGTTATCTTWAAAACTTCACTTGAATTTAGTTTAAGTTTTTGAGTAAAGTACAAATAAAAATGCTTATATATAGTATCCAAAGTAGAAAGCTTGGCCAGTAAAAAGAGAAAATGAAAGCTGAGTACTTAATCTATGCCTTAGTTTGATTTGCACCCAAAGTCGAATCTGAAAGAGTTCTGTCTTTCCTGTTTTCTCCCAATGCTCTTTTTATAGCTGCTTAGTTTAGAAAAAGCCTTGTTTCCTATGCTTAAACCAAGGACCAAACCTCTGTGGAGCTGCCGGTGGCATTTTGACAGATTTGATTTCCTTCTTGCATTTCACTGGGCTGCCGACATCCTATCAACCAAAGAGGGGTTGCCCCTCTTTGGGGGCTTCTCTTGCCCAGGAATTTGGTTGCATTCTTTTCAGTGTCAAGTGACCGCAGTCACTGAAATGTATTCTTTATAGCAAGTGTATATTAAAAATATACAAATCAAACTCTGATTTTGTTTGTATGCTCATCACTGTGCAGCTCATGGCTGGCTGTTGATGAAGAGCAGCTCTAACAGTGCTCAGCAGGCTTGGAGAAATCATGAGTTTCAGTGATCACAAACTATCCCGCAGTCCCTGCAACCAGAACCTCCCTTTGAAAATTTGTATTTAGCAATGAAACAGATATTGTAGGGGAAGAGTGATAGAGATATTCTAAAAAAAAAMCATGATTTCAGTGAAGCATTAAAAGTGTTTTAATTAGCTACCTGCAATCAGGCAGAGAAGGCAGCTATTTTAAAATTGTGCTTATTACTTTGTTGTAACGTCACATCCAGTCACAGAGCCATTTTTACTCAGTAGCAGACAGGAGGAGTGTGGTACAGAACTGATACAAGAACAGTGCCCAGTTTTTGGATTAGTTGCTTCTTTTTTCTTCATAACTTCAAAGCATAAAAAGGCCTATTTTTGTAGCACGCAGAAGTCTTCTTAAAGGTTGGCGTAATTCAGTCTCTAGGATTTTTCTGTACGAGTATCATCCCAGGAGAAGGCAGGGAATCAATAGAACGATGCTGTCTTTGCAACCAGCAGATTTCTCTGTGGGAATCCATGTGATTTTTTCTGTTGTTCTCTACATCATAGATTTTCCTCTCTCTTACACTATGTGGAGCTAGCAAATAGCACAATAGGGTCTTGATTTTCATCAGGGTTACCTTAACATTATCGGATGTGAAATAAGTAATGTTCCAGGATCCTTAAGTGCTGAATAATTTTCTCTCTTCTCTATGTGAATTCTAATACCTGTGGGAGAGTTGATCCCATATTTGTGATCTCAAAGTGATTTCTTCTGCACTAAGATTTCCTGGGTAAGACCTGTCTTGTCTAAAGATTCATTTCTTTTCTTCCATATTCCCTATGAGGATTAACCTTTTTTCTTTTTTTCTAGTTATTTATTGTCAAGGAAAAATAGAGAGAAAACCTTGTGTTAACTCTCTCCTCTCTGCTTTTTTGTTCAGTCGCACATTTTTTCTTTCAGTCTCTGTGTGTGTTTGTGATTGTTTGTGATTGCTAGTAATGCTTATAAAAGACTAGCAAAATCAGCCATAATGGAAAAAAATAAAACCTGGAGTGCTGTGTGAGAATTACTATATAGTTGTCCCCAGTGCACCTTAAACCTGACTTGCAACACCCTCTGCTGTCGCATCATGAAGCGATGGGAAGTAGAGATGTTAYTCTGCCTGAGTGGTGACCCACAAAGCAGCAGATATTTAGGGTATCACCCTACCCCACCTTCAAAAGGTTGCTTTATTGTGACTAACACATATGAATTAAATCTGTACAATTTACAGTCCTTCATGCTAACTTGCTGCTACACCTGAGTTTATTATAGCAGTCTTCCATCTCTTCGTATAAAGCAGAAAAAGCTTTTTATGAACTTATTTTTAAAACTCAATATATTGAGATGAGAAAAAATGCAGTGAAGAACCCTGTACAGAAAGACAGTGTGTTGCCAAACTGCTGAATCCCAGCACTGGAACTGCAATAAGTGATTCTGCATTAGACACATTTCAAACACTGGATATATAGGGCCACTTTGCAGCTGAAGGCAGTTGCAAGAAGGAACTTTCCATCCTGTAGAGCTTTGGTGGCATACATAAACGTTAAAGTAAGAAATCGGTAATTGTCATCCCACCAATGTCATAATCTAAACCAAATTAAAAACATCTTACCCTGTAAGCCCATAAAATGCCATGGACTCCGGAGAGTGCCCTTGGGCAACTGCCCTTCCTGCTGTGCTGTTCAGGCCTGAAGGCTGCTTGGGAGGCCCCTTGCAAAGCATGTGAGATATGTCTGTGTTCTGGGCTAAGCTGCTGCTCCTTCCCAATGCTGGGACCCCTTCCCGTGTTCCTAATRCACTGAGTGGCACCAGGTCAGTGCAGCTCTCACCAAGAGAGCTTCAGTCTAGGTTGATGCTAACAAAAATCAGGAAAGATGTAAGCTTTGTTTTTCTCGTGGTTGTTTTTCTTAACTATGCAGACTCTACTCAAATTTGTCTTTTGTTCCTTCTTTATCTGTGGTAAAATTTATCATTGGAGACATTGTTTAATAACATTAAGGTAGGTCTTGCTTGCTATCAACCTCCTAGCAAGAAAGCAAAGCCTAGAGAATTTCACTTTTTATTTTTTTTAATGGTGCTTCGGTACTGTGGCTCTGAAACATAAGATTAATAATTGTCAGTGCTGATTGATCAGCACTTGGCAGTACTGATTAGATAGCTAGTGATACATTTACATCAGAGAGCACAAATGTGAGTGTGAACATCTGTTCATTTATATTGACAGAGACAATAGTTCAATGCAATAGGATTACAGCAATGCTAATGATTTATTTCATTTTGTTTTGTGCATCTCTCCGACAAGAGATAATACGAAGGAAGGGAATATTTTAAAGAAAAGAATGAAATGTAATTGGCCGCTTAAGTCATTATCACTAACAATTGCTATTGAGCTTTTTAATACATTTGCCTTGCCAGCTGCTGGGTATTTATTCTGTGCTGACTTCTCTTTTTGATTGTGTTAACCTCACAGTTGGAAATAGGCTTTTTTTTTTTTTTTTTTTTTTTTTTTTTTTTTTTTTTTTTTTTTTTTTTTGTGAGCTTAAAAGAGTCTGCAAGACAGGAAATTCTTGTGGCACAGAACATAAGGATAATATTTTTTTCATTGCATTAATGAGAATGTTACCTTCAGCTAATCCATAGACCAATTCTTTTATGACTTGCATATTTTTATAACAATGTACAGTTAAATGTGAAAGCTCTATTTGGTGGTAAAATTTGCTTTGGTACCAATCTCTTAATCTCACAGAATACATTAAAACTATGGATTTCCTGCTTTCTTTTCCTTTTCCTCTTTCTCCTTGAAATCACCTCATAAATAGCCCTTATTCCCTCCTCCTTCTGTAGGAATTTATAAAATTTCTTTGACACCGAAAGCTCTGAAAACATCTCGCCAGAAAAAAACAGGAAAAAGATCTTTATTTCTTGAAAGTTAACTTTTACACTAGAGGAAGTGTAGATATTACTATAAAGCAAGAAAATTGACTAAGACTTTTCTAATGGTCTATTTTTTCAGCATAGTGAAATTATTCTTGCTGTCATCTGGAACAAAATTTACTGTTGTAGTAAAAGGTAAAATGATGTGTTTTTTACAAAAAATGATGTGAAAATGACTGCACCTCTTTTAAAAATGACATTTACAGGGAATGTTTTTACTTACAGCGGTAATATTATCCCAGATAATATAAGCATATTGATCCTTCAAAATCTTTGTATTCTAAAGTGCCAGTGACACAGACTTGATGCTTTTTATTTAAGACTTTCTCTTTTTTTAAAAAGAAGAAATAAAAGAGCAAGGAGGGAGATGCTGACATACATCATTCCTGTCAGGCTGAGAGCAAGTGCGGCAGATGCTGCTGAAGCCTTCGTTGGTGAAGACRGAGAAAGGGTCAGCAGCCTTTGTACGGTGCTGAAGATAGGAGTGTTTGGGGGGCAGTGTCTTTGGGCAGTGATCACCTTATATTCTGCCTTTGCTGAGAATAAAATGAAATGAAAATTAAGACAAGTGATCTGCAGCTTATAATAGTCTAGCTGCTTCTCCTGGTGCTTTCTGGAGAAGGCAGAGTTGACCGGATAGGCAAAAATAGACACTGGATAGACACATCTTCTGTACACTTACACAAAATCTTTCCTACAAGCATCTCCACTCTGGAAGTGAKAAATCATCTTTTTTGAAATTAATTTTAAATCCAGATTTTTTGCACCCTTGTATTTATTACTTTCTTAAAACATAATTTGGAAAAACTTTGAATATGTTCAAATGCTAAAAAAAACTTTCCAAAAAGGCTTTCTTTGCTTTTGCCTCACATTCTTGCCTTTTCTTTTGCCTTGCACTCTCACGGCTTTCTTATTTCTTCCTGTATAATCCTCTAATGTAGAATCACTCTATATGAAAGTCATCTATAGAAAAGGAAAATTCCAAAGTTTTTGGAGGTAAAATATGAAGCTGCACTTTGGAGGTAGCTAACAGCTTCCATGGCATGTACCTATCTGTTGTGCAAAACAAGTTGTGTGCGTGACTGAATAG